TTGATATTTAGTTGACATGATGTACTGTTGATATTTAGTTGACACCAGGTACTGTTGATATTTAGCTGACACTAGGTACTGTTGATATTTAGTTGACACCAGGTGCTGTTGATATTTAGTTGACACTAGGTACTGTTGATATTTAGCTGACACTAGGTACTGTTGATATTTAGTTGACACCAGGTACTGTTGATATTTAGTTGACACTAGGTACTGTTGATATTTAGTTGACATGTTGTACTGTTGATATTTAGTTGACATGTTGTACTGTTGATATTTAGTTGACATGATGTACTGTTGATATTTAGCTGACACTAGGTACTGTTGATATTTAGCTGACACCAGGTACTGTTGATATTTAGTTGACACCAGGTACTGTTGATATTTAGCTGACATGATGTACTGTTGATATTTAGCTGACATGATGTACTGTTGATATTTAGCTGACATGATGTACTGTTGATATTTAGCTGACATGATGTACTGTTGATATTTACCTGACACTAGGTACTGTTGATATTTAGCTGACATGATGTACTGTTGATATTTAGCTGACATGATGTACTGTTGATATTTAGCTGACATGATGTACTGTTGATATTTAGCTGACATGATGTACTGTTGATATTTAGCTGACATGATGTACTGTTGATATTTAGCTGACATGATGTACTGTTGATATTTAGCTGACATGATGTACTGTTGATATTTAGCTGACATGATGTACTGTTGATATTTAGCTGACATGATGTACTGTTGATATTTAGCTGACATGATGTACTGTTGACATCTTTTGATACAATATTGTATTAAATGTGTGTGTATGTCAATCATAACAATAAAAATGTTTGTGTCTAACTTTTTTATTGTACAACAATGTGTATGGATCACAAAGGAATAAGCAATGTCATGTTTTGAAGTAAATCAGATGAATATATATCTATATATAAAGTTACCATTTATCAAAATGTATACCATTTTTATATCAAATGTATTGTTAGTTAAGAAATCAATTTACAAGAAATAAACATCAGTATGCTTACCTAATCTGAGACTAACATAAATCTCGCTATCTCATAAGTAACTTTAAAATGAACTTTTAAAAAATGATCATTTTTACATCAAGTCATCTGTAGCTCTTTGTTAGTAAAAAAAATCATCTCTTTAAACCAAATTAAAACCTTCTTAATCTAGTCAACTGCATATATAATTCACTTTAAGTGATTTAAATATTATAACCTCGATTGCTACAGTGTAATCAGGGTAATTGAAATGAGGACATTAAGAGCCTTTAATTTAAGCAAGCTACAGTTATAATATATCACTCTAAGCTCTATGATTTTTAAGAAGAAGTTCAAAATTTTTGCAAGGAGTATGCAGAAAATGCAACCTATTTCTGGAAGTATCCAGACTAGGGACTATAAGACTGCATATAATCTAAAATCTAATGTACAGATACAAACAATCTTAATGATAGAAAATTGCTCTTAAAATCACTGCCACCTCCTTTGTTACTTTGGATAAAATCTGTGGTGATCATTCTGTAAACCATAAAACTAGAGTTCAAAATTCTGGATCCCTTTCAAAAGGTCAATGTTGAATCATTTCAGGTGATCTCCAGACACCCGTATTCTTTGGATATCGTGATTTTTAATTGTGTGTTCATTAATATTTCAAAATCATTTAGATGAATGCCAAGCCAGGGTATAATTGTTTGTGCACTATTCTGCTCAAATTCCTGATTATAGATTGTAAAGATCCGAGTAAAAAACAGTGAAGTGAATACATACACCAAAGTATCATATTTAATGGTGAAATATGGCAGTATAATCTGCCCTTTAACATCCAATATTTGTACAATATCATAAATTCAATCACAACACATGATTTGATAAAGATTTTAAAAGATTTATATCACAAAATTTGATTCAAATTATTTCTTGATTTCAAAAGTTTGATTTCTGAATTTCACACATTATTTTATCTAAACTGTAATTCAATAAAACTTTTCTGGTATCACATTCCAGAAAGCATCATTCTTAGGATGCAAACATTAGAAATAATCTCATGGTCATAATACAAATTGACAACAAAATCAATTTTTGTTTTCATGAAAAAAAAAGAAGGAAAAATAATTATGAATGATGCTAAACTCCCACAAATATTATAATTTTGTTTTATTTTGTGAGTGATCAAGAGCTAAACTGACAATAAAGAAACCTACCTCCTCTCATCACATTAAAAACATAGATGTAAATACACAACACATATCAATACATGGTGTATGATGAACATTCCAATAAATCAAAGAATTTTTATGACTGTTAAACCTGAAAAAATGTATACAAGGAAATTTGAAGAAAACTTACTTTGTTTTTAGGACAATATCACAAGCTTCTGTACAGTTGGACTTTTGAGTAGTAATGTTTCTTTAGCATAACACTTGTACAGGTATACAAAATATGGTCAACACCTGTACAGGTATACTAAATATGGCCAACACTTGTACAGGTATACCAAATATGGTCAACGCTTGTACAGGTATACTAAATATGGTCATCACTTGTAAAGGTATACCAAATATGGTCAACACTTGTCCAGGTATACTAAATATGGTCATCACTTGTAAAGGTATACCAAATATAGTCAACACTTGTACAGGTATACTAAATATGGCCAACACTTGTACAGGTATACCAAATATGGCCAACACTTGTATAGGTATACTAAATATGGTCAACACTTGTACAGGTATACCAAATATGGTCAACACTTGTATAGGCATACCAAATATGGTCAACACTTGTATAGGTATACTAAATATGGTCAACACTTGTACAGGTATACTAAATATGGTCAACACTTGTACAAGTATACCAAATATGGCCAACACTTGTATAGGTATACCAAATATGGTCAACACTTGTACAGGTATACCAAATATGGCCAACACTTGTACAGGTATACCAAATATGGTCAACACTTGTATAGGTATACCAAATATGGACAACACTTGTATAGTATACTAAATATGGTCAACACTTGTATAGGTATACTAAATATGGTCAACACCTGTACAGGTATACCAAATATGGTCAACACTTGTACAGGTATACCAAATATGGCCAACACTTGTACAGGTATACCAAATATGGTCAACACTTGTATAGGTATACTAAATATGGTCAACACTTGTACATGTATACCAAATATGGTCAACAGCTGTACATGTATACCAATTATAGTAGTGAATATAAAGATGACATCATGGACATGCAGAGATTTATTATTCAGTCTCTTAAACATTTTATTGTTTAACTTTTATCAATTTATTTAGGGCTTTAATTTTTCACATTACAAATATTTAGTTACTGGAAATCATAATGTCTAATATTTATTATTTTATAAGCTGCTGTTATTTTCCCACACTTAAAAATATAAACTGACTATGCAGTCACAATATGCTATTATTGTCTAATTTTCATCTTTAGCTAACATTTCAAGAAAATTGTCTAGAATGTTCATAACAAAGTGCATGAATTACGATCAAACTGCATAAAAAAACTACCTATGTTTTGGAGACATGTTATCATTACAACTTCATGATTGTCTAAAGTTCATCAAATTTAGTTATGTAAAATATTCCTTTTAAGGCAGAAATATTTGAATTTTGAAATAAATTTTCAAATTTCAAAATGGATTTTTTAGATAAATATTGCAAGATAAACTTTCAATTCTTTATAATCTTTAACTTTGTCCCCCAAAAAATTGTTTTTGAGTTATTGATATTTTTCAAAGCATGAACAAATATCAGATATCTTTTTTCATAAAAATTTAAGAAATTAATTTTGTTTTAAATAGCCATCAGTGAATTTAACAATTTATTTACAATTTGAATGACAATGAAAAAAAAGAAGATATTTTTTGCCAAAAGTTAAAAATATGATAAGAAAAAAAAAAGAAAAGGGTTTGAGACAAGAAATAAAAAGTACTTGGAGATGAGAATAAAATCCAACACCAACATACCATTAAATACTCTGATGCCTAGATGTCATCCTGTCAACAACAGAGTAAAGAGCTCCGATTTTACTTTTAAAAAGTTACTTAAGAAAAAAAATGATTAAATCAACACAAAAAAGTCTATATAAGATATGGAAATTTGAGATAATTGTTGCTTAAGCAAAACAACTACCTACATGCATTTAATTTCAATTTAGCTGAAATGAAATTTTACTGCCACTAATGTGTATGGTGTTTTTTTAGTCAGGAAATTAATTGAGCCACACTTTAAAACAATCTGAGCCTTCTCAATAAAAATCATGACAAACCACAAAATATGAATAATGGTAAGATATACCTCTATATATCTCTACACCTAAAGCTGTGCAAAACAGTATTCCTCTCCCAATATATGTACCACCAAAAGCCAATCATCTGTAATAATATAAAACATCAATATTCCATTTTTGAGTTGCACATTAAAAATGTAAAAATTTTAGTGTAATCACCATTTTTATGTAAATTAAAACTCCAAAACTTAAAAGTTACCATTGAATTGTATTTTTCCTGGTGAACAGAGAGTCTCTTTATATCAATAACCTTCCACTGGTTTGGTTTCTTTGTATTTGATGTTGATCGATTGACACAGTCGTCTTAATTGTTTGACAAATTTATCATTGTATTTGACCTGATAAGCAAACTTATTGCTCACAAAAACATGTAAAGGGATCATACAAGTGTAATATGTACAAAAAGACCCAAGGTCACAGAAAACAACAAAATCTAAAATTCAAGATCAAAGTACTGAAAGTACTGAGAGGTTTGACGTATTTCTTGGTGATATTCAATCAGATGGTAAGTGGAGCTTGGATAAATCACCAATTAAACTTATTATTTAGGTATAAGGAAAATTGTAAAGAGTTGAAACACCAAAGATGTAGAATATTCTACAAAAAAGATACTTGTTTCCTCTTAGATTGGTAAAAAAACCCTCTAATCAAGTGACACTATAAATGTGATAAAAGAAATATGAAAAATTTACATATACATATATATTCTACCTATAAAAATAAAACATAAGTACAGAAAATACCATATGAGGGATTCATGGGTATATATTTCAGTAGGCATCAAAAAACATCGAGAACTCAAGTTGCTAAATGATTTTAGGGAGAAAAAATGAAATCTTTCTAAATAAAAATATTGATTTCGCATAGGCTAGGGTGAAAAACGAAAGTAAGAAAAACACAAAAGGAATGCTTAAAGGAATGTAAAGAATTAAAAAACTTTATGACTGCAAGCATTTACTGTCATTTCTCATACTGACTTGGGACAAAAAATCACACAGAGGTGAAAACAAAATGCAGAACTGTTTGAAACTTTACTGGACCTTTTTTGGATAAAAAAAATCACTCAACTATTCTGTTGACCTTAAGCACTGTGCATCATGGACAACAACTGCATGGAAATAATGAAAGACAGAAGCTCATATCCACTACTTTGTTCTGAATTCCACACACAGACGATTTTAAGATTTTAAAATTATTTTCCTGTAACATTTTGTATGCTTTTTTCTCCTCAGCAGAATCAAGGTAAACATATCTACTGATAGTTTCATTCTTCCCCTATTATAAGTTCTGACTAATCCTTTTGGGTCCAGCCCACCTCAACCATGTACATTGACAGAAAATCCGTTATCAAAAAGTTTCTTCAATGAAATCTGAAAATCCATTCAGTGCTATGATACAGAAATTCTACAACTACAGCCCCTTACTGAAAAGTATACATTTGTGATAAAAGTTTTGAAAATACTTTAATTGTTTCAATATATCATAAATCTGTGAAGATTTAAATTTCAATTCTGGGGGCTAAAATGACAAGGAATTTCAAAAGCTCAAGTTAATTTTTTTGAAGTTGAAAATGTTGCAATCACACCTTGTTCAAAATACAGCAACAATACACTAGAACTCCTGACTGAGAAATTGTCTAAACATTTCTAATTACTCTTTCTGCATTATTACAGTTTACCAGATGTTCAGGGGGAGGTTATTCTAGTTTAAATTTGTTAGCAACATCAGGATGGACATCAGGGTGAGGAGAAGCTTGGTAGGAGTGGTAACCGGTGCGCCACTAGGATTTCCTGGTAGAGGACATACGTCATTTTCACCTTTACTTAACTGGCAGGCACTCAACTTCACTTCCTCTGGGATTTCATATTTCACCATGGACCTTGAACCTGATTGGACAGAAATACAGATGCTAGAGTATTCATATATAGCTTCAATAGATCAATGGAGTCCCTTAAATTGACTAGAATTGATCTGTGATTATAAAAGTAGTCATTAATCCAACAGTTTTCGAAGTGACACTGGACCTGGCATTAATTAGTCTTTCTATCCTATAGTTTCACACCTTCGAGAATAGCTAGTGGTGTGCCTCGGCCAACAAGAATTGCTGGTCAGTGGTATATTTGTAACAGGTCTGGATCCAGCAAGGTCTCCAGTGTAATGAAAACAAGAGAGCCCAGTGGGATCTTGGCGCCCACCATTTGAAGATCTGTTTTCAGTTCTTGAAGATTTGTTTATTTATTTTTTTTGATACAGGTTTTGTAAATGTTCATGAACTGGTCTTCATTGAATGTACTCAATGATGGCACAAGATATTTTTATTAAGCACCTATTAGCAAATATCATTTAAAAAAGATCCCAAAGTATTATTAGATAGCAGTCAGTTACAGGTGGATAATGGACATAGTCTTGAATCAATATGATAGAATATCGAAGAAAATATGCTTGTCCTGTATTACTGTCGACATCCAAGATGGCTGCCTGTGGGCCACCTTGATTTCAAATCAGTCCAAAAAAAGTACAATGCACAACTAGGGACCAAGGGAAACCAATACCTATGAAATATCAGAAGTATCCATCCAGTACTTCTTCAGAAATAGCGGTAACAAGATTTTACTTTCAAAATCCAAGATGGCTGCCTGTCAGCCATCTTGATTTTGGATCAGTCTAAAAAGGTAAAATGCACAATTAGGGACCAAGGGGAACCTGCATATGAAATTTGAGAAAAATCCATCCAGTACTTTCCAAGAAATAGCGATAACAAACTTTTGCTTCCAAAATCCAAGATGGCCGTCTGTCAGCCATCTTGAATTCGAATCAGTCCAAAAAAGGTACAATGCACAACTAGGGACCAAGGGGAACCTGCATATGCAATTTGAGACAGATTTATTCAGTACTTTCCCAGAAATAGCGGTAACAAACTTTTACTTTCAAACTCCAAGATGGCCGCCTGTCAGCCATCTTGATTTTGGATCAGTCCAAAAAGGTACAATGCACAACTAGGGACCAAGGGGAAACTGCATATGAAATTTGAGAAAGATCCATCCAGTACTTTTCCTGAAATAGTGATAATTGACTACGGACGGCTCAACGGGTGGATGACGGACCACGGATGCGGGGCGATTTGAATACCCCACCATCTGATGATGGTGGGCTAATAAAAACCTTTCTGCTGGTATGAGATTTTAGATGAGTTGTCGTTATGACAAAAAAAGACGTCCACTTCATGTTTACAGATAGGAGATATATATAATGAATGTCTACACTAAGGCTGGTCACGTGTGGATCTTTGTAAACAAAACACCTTAAATTACGATAGTATATAACTATTAAGTGTGTATCTAATAGATTTACATCGATCCAGCCTATAGAGTTTGGCTTAATTAAGATATAAACTTTGTCATATACTGTACTGTAAACACTGCTGGTAGACTTATAATCTCTGATATATGTCATAATCTGTGTGTCATGTTTTGTTAACACTGCTGGTTAACCTGTGTGTCATGTTTTGTTAACACTGCTGGTTAACACTGCTGGTTAACCTGTGTGTCATGTTTTGTTAACACTGCTGGTTAACCTGTGTGTCATGTTTTGTTAACACTGCTGGGTAACCTGTGTGTCATGTTTAGTTAACACTGCTGGTTAACACTGCTGGTTAACCTGTGTGTCATGTTTTGTTAACACTGCTGGTTAACCTGTGTGTCATGTTTTGTTAACACTGCTGGTTAACCTGTGTGTCATGTTTTGTTAACACTGCTGGTTAACCTGTGTGTCATGTTTTGTTAACACTGCTGGTAGACTTATAGTCCTAGTACCTGATGCTTAATAAAATTATTTGATATATGAAAATTAAGAAATTTATTGAAATATGTGGCTTCTGCACCACCACCCCATCTAGATTTTGACTTTTCTTTTCATCAATTTTCAGCTATCTCCTAGTGTTCAAAATTAAGGCCTTAGCACCAACAACTGACAAGTCGTTGAAGGCCAAAAAAGCTGTATGATGCAGTTTTATTGTTTGACTCGTACCTAATTCTAATGCCTAATGTATTAAAAGGTGCTATTTTCTTGCTTGTCTTTTGTACAATCTTTGTATAGTAACAACATGCCAGAAAAATCTTGTAACAGGGATATGTAAATCTATGATAATTGTATGGAAAACATATATTTTTCTTAGGTTATATATATAAACATTTTTTAGGGGGGATATTGGGGTGGTGTAATCGGTTAGGCAGTTGTCAAATTTCTTGACTAGGTGATTTGGTCTGAGTTTGAGGCCCTGATAGAGCACAAGTCAAAAATTGTCTTTATCAGCTGTGTTACCATGTTCAAATATATATATAAAACCTAATCTGTCAAGTATGATTATATATACTACACAATATTTAACTGCAGGAGTCAACAAGTTCCTTTCACAAGACCAAGACAACAAAGCAATATATATATACATCACATATAAAGAACATTAACATCTTGCCAAGATAGGGCACTCTAAATTAGTATTGAACCAAGCTGTTAACTCATTCTAAATGAAGGTAATGAATTTTTATGAAAATATTTGATATGAATCAAAGTATTTTCCATTTTTGTGAGCCTCTGTTTAAGTATAAGAAAGCATTTCTGACCATCATACTGTAACATTTACGTACCTGGTTTGTAGTACATTTCAGCCGAAACAAATTCGTCCTTGACGCTTGCCACATCCTTATCTCGGGTCGACTGTATACGAAACTCTTTTCTGCTCATCTGATATTGACAGGAACATTATGTTTCAAGTTTACAACAGACAAGAAATTGTCACAAAAACACAGATCTATGTGATAATAAACAACATTTGACCTTGGCGTCACCAAGGTCATAGGGGAGGTCAAATTTGAGTTGGTGGTGAGAAGGATATTGAGGGGCCACCTGGACAGTTAGATGTTCATTAATCAATAGTAATTGTAAGACTTTCAAGATTGCCACCACATCACTCTAAATCACATACGATGTTTGATGACTGAATGATCAACATCAGATATCAATTTATTTTTCAGTCATACTTAACAGAGAAACCTCTACCTTATTTCAGCCCCATCATTGAAATCAGAAAATTGTCATTTGAAAAATAATAAATATCCTTTTTTGGAACCTTTTCTTTAGGTTGGTTATAGGTTAAAAGGTGACTGTGAAGTCATCGAAATGTCACACTCAAATTTTCAACTGGATGTGTTATGAGAACTTCTGTTCTTTGAAGGCTTTTTTGGGTGATGAAAATATTGTGTTATGGATATAAGTGTGATGATTGTGATTTAGCTCGTACCAGCATGTTGCTCACGTAGATGATCACTTTTCCATCTTTGTTCTCCACACGATCTGCTCCTTGGATTGTGTCGGTGTTTGTTACAAAACCTGATGGAGCCTTGTACGTTACCAAAGCCATTTGTCCAATACTGCTACTAACCAACAATCTACAAACCCAAAGAAAAGGATCTAGTATAAAAATGGACTCAGCTTTGTGGGTTACAGGAGATCCTCGAGTGATCTTGGCGCATTATTATTATTATATAATTAATTATTAATTAATATAATGAAAAATTAGATGTTTTTTATTTCTTGTCATTCCTGTAATTGCTGTTTAACTTTTTGTTGTATTGACTAGAGAAATAATCAAATGACAATATTGTTACAAATAGGAAACTGGCATACACAATTTAAAAATGATATCTTCATTACCTTTTTTAAAAAAAAACCATGATAATAAATTAATTCTTCAAAATTCAAGATAGCATTACATGTCAGGGAAGGAAAATTAAATATGAAATTTGAGTTTGATTTCCAATAAGTTCCTAACCTGAACATGTAAAATATGTGACCAAAGATCTTACTACACATGACGTTGAGAATAATCCAGAAAGTCGTCAAGAATTAGCAGTGGGGGATAGACAACAACAGTACAGTCATTAGAAAATTGGATGTAACATACATAACCTCAGGTAAAGATTGGAGTTGGGTGGTTCAACACTCCAAACAAATTTGAATGGTTCTCTGAGAAATGATCTTTTCTGTCATTTGGTATGATACTCCCATCACTCTAAATTACATGAGAGGTATCTGCAGTATAATGTTTAGTGACGTAACCACCAGCTCCTAAAAGGAGTACTTGACTTGCAATGACCACAGTTGCCTGTGAGATGATTATCAGTCAGCAAACAAGCAGATAAATTGAGTTAACCAAATAATGATAACTGACAATATCCAAGATGGCCTCCTGCTAGCCATTTTGATTATCAGATTTATCAAAAAAACAGACAATGCACAACAATTTTTTATCAAGCCAAAAAAGGACAAAACAACTGAATATTTTTTCTGATACATTAAAGCCCTTTTCTTGTTTTATATAAGTCTTGAGCTGATGTTCTGTACATCAAGATCTAATTTGCTTTGACTTTGACTTTATAACAGATTATCTGCCCTTGACTGTGATTTTATAACAGATCTGCCCTTGACTGTGATTTTATAACAGATTATCTGCCCTTGACTGTGATTTTGTAACAGATTATCTGCCCTTGACTGTGATTTTATAACAGGTTATCTGCCCTTGACTGTGATTTTATAACAGGTTATCTGCCCTTGACTGTGATTTTATAACAGATTATCTGCCTTTGACTGTGATTTTATAACAGATTAGCCCTCGACTGTGATTTTATAACAGATTATCTGCCTTTGACTGTGATTTTATAACAGATTAGCCCTCGACTGTGATTTTATAACAGATTATCTGCCCTTGACTGTGATTTTGTAACAGATTATCTGCCCTTGACTGTGATTTTATAACAGGTTATCTGCCCTTGACTGTGATTCTGTAACAGATTATCTGCCCTTGACTGTGATTCTGTAACAGATTATCTGCCCTTGACTGTGATTTTATAACAGGTTATCTGCCATTGACTGTGATTTTATAACAGGTTATCTGCCCTTGACTGTGATTTTGTAACAGATTATCTGCCCTTGACTGTGATTTTATAACAGGTTATCTGCCCTTGACTGTGATTTTATAACAGGTTATCTGCCCTTGACTGTGATTTTATAACAGGTTATCTGCCCTTGACTGTGATTCTGTAACAGATTATCTGCCCTTGACTGTGATTCTGTAACAGATTATCTGCCCTTGACTGTGATTTTATAACAGATTATCTGCCCTTGACTGTGATTTTATAACAGATCTGCCCTCGACTGTGATTTTATAACAGATTATCTGCCCTTGACTGTGATTTTATAACAGGTTATCTGCCCTTGACTGTGATTCTATAACAGGTTATCTGCCCTTGACTGTGATTCTGTAACAGATTATCTGCCCTTGACTGTGATTCTGTAACAGATTATCTGCCCTTGACTGTGATTTTATAACAGATTATCTGCCCTTGACTGTGATTTTATAACAGATCTGCCCTCGACTGTGATTTTATAACAGATTATCTGCCCTTGACTGTGATTTTATAACAGGTTATCTGCCCTTGACTGTGATTTTATAACAGGTTATCTGCCCTTGACTGTGATTCTGTAACAGATTATCTGCCCTTGACTGTGATTCTGTAACAGATTATCTGCCCTTGACTGTGATTCTGTAACAGATTATCTGCCCTTGACTATGATTTTGTAACAGATTATCTGCCCTTGACTGTGATTTTATAACAGATTATCTGCCCTTGACTGTGATTTTATAACAGATTATCTGCCCTTGACTGTGATTTTATAATATATTATCTGCCCTTGACTGCAATTTTATAACAGATTTTCTGCCCTTGACAGTAAAATTATAGTAGATTATCTGCCCTTGACTGTGATGAATTAAACACATAAAACTGATTATACTATACAAATTACTCTGTGTTTACACACTTATCCGACAATATTATCCATGGCTGGTGATCAGCTCAAATAATCCAATAAGTTAATAAAAAAAGTTCATTGTTAAGATATACAAAGCCCTCCCTTTACTCTGTGTAATAAGTCATGTGTTGGCCCTTGGTGTCCTGTAATAAGCCAAACCCCCATTTGTTTGAGTAAGAGGTAATATAATTGACCACTGGGGTCCTGTAATAAGCCCACTTCCCTGTCTCTTTTACAAAGAGGTAATGTGTTGGCCATTGTGGTTCCTACAGATTAATTGCTGTAAACAAATGAGGTATAAAAGTGAGATAATGGCTCTGATCTGACTGTGACTGTCTCTTACCGGATGTAGATCTCAACATCAAACACATTGCTGTTGACAAAGGTGGTCTTTGCCTTGATATGAAACGTCGGTACGCTGTTCAATGGTTGTCTCATAACATTGTACTTCCAATTCAGCTAAACAAAAAATAAACACACAAATTTATACCAAAAGACAGCCACAATCAGAATTGAAAATTAGCTGAATGAGATCTGAGAGTGATCTTTACAGCCACAAGTTAAAAGATCTTTTCAGGTTTACTTGGATCTCTTTTAGTACTTTGAAATGACAGCCATGTATATAACTAATGTATTATAATGAATGTTTTTCATCTAAATGAATAGATCTTCATTTGGTTTGGTCCTTTAAAAGTAATGGACTTTCTTTTACAGCCCCCATACCAAACCTCTATGCCCTTCCGCTTTGATAGATTTAACAAAACAAAAAAACAAAACTGATTGCATGCATATCATTGATGTTTGTGGCCAAAAAATACTAGCAAATATACCTATACTATAGTCATTAAAGAAATTTGATTATTTAAAAATTTTGGCCAATCAAAAACCACAGTTGACCAGTCAGATGGTTGATAAAAACAACAAAAACCAAACTACCTGGTAATCAATTAAGTACCTGTTCCAAAATACCTGGTAATCAATTAAGTCCCTGTTCCAAAATACCTGGTAGTCAATTAAATATCTTTACCAAAATATCAGATAATCAATTAAGTCCCTGTTCCAAAATACCTGGTATTCAATTAAATATCTTTACCAAAATATCAGATAATCAATTAAGTACCTGTTCCAAAATACCTGGTAATCAATTAAGTACCTGTTCCAAAATACCTGGTATTCAATTAAATATCTTTACCAAAATATCAGATAATCAATTAAGTACCTGTTCCAAAATACCTGGTAATCAATTAAGTACCTGTTCCAAAATACCTGGTAGTCAATTAAGTACCTGTTCCAAAATACCTGGTAGTCAATTAAGTCCCTGTTCCAAAATACCTGGTAATCAATTAAGTCCCTGTTCCAAAATACCTGGTAATCAATTAAGTACCTGTTCCAAAATACCTGGTAATCAATTAAGTACCTGTTCCAAAATACCTGGTAATCAATTAAGTCCCTGTTCCAAAATACCTGGTATTCAATTAAATATCTTTACCAAAATATCAGATAATCAATTAAGTCCCTGTTCCAAAATACCTGGTAATCAATTAAGTACCTGTTCCAAAATACCTGGTAGTCAATTAAGTACCTGTTCCAAAATACCTGGTAGTCAATTAAGTCCCTGTTCCAAAATACCTGGTAATCAATTAAGTCCCTGTTCCAAAATACCTGGTAATCAATTAAGTACCTGTTCCAAAATACCTGGTAATCAATTAAGTACTTGTTCCAAAATACCTGGTAATCAATTAAATCCCTGTTCCAAAATACCTGGTAGTCAATTAAATATCTTTACCAAAATATCAGATAATCAATTAAGTCCCTGTTCCAAAATACCTGGTATTCAATTAAATATCTTTACCAAAATATCAGATAATCAATTAAGTCCCTGTTCCAAAATACCTGGTAATCAATTAAGTACCTGTTCCAAAATACCTGGTAGTCAATTAAGTACCTGTTCCAAAATACCTGGTAGTCAATTAAGTCCCTGTTCCAAAATACCTGGTAATCAATTAAGTCCCTGTTCCAAAATACCTGGTAATCAATTAAGTACCTGTTCCAAAATACCTGGTAATCAATTAAGTACCTGTTCCAAAATACCTGGTAATCAATTAAGTCCCTGTTACAAAATACCTGGTAATCAATTAAATATCTTTACCAAAATATCTGGTAATCAATTAAGTACCTGTTCCAAAATACCTGGTAGTCAATTAAGTCCCTGTTCCAAAATACCTGGTAATCAATTAAGTACCTGTTCCAAAATACCTGGTAATCAATTAAGTACCTGTTCCAAAATACCTGGTAATCAATTAAGTACCTGTTCCAAAATACCTGGTAATCAATTAAGTACCTGTTCCAAAATACCTGGTAATCAATTAAATATCTGTACCAAAATACCTGGTAATCAATTAAATATCTGTACCAAAATACCTGGTAATCAATTAAATATCTGTACCAAAATACCTGGTAATCAATTAAATATCTGTACCAAAATACCTGGTAATCAATTAAATATCTGTACCAAAATACCTGGTAATCAATTAAATATCTGTACCAAAATACCTGGTAATCAATTAAGTACCTGTTCCAAAATACCTGGTAATCAATTAAATATCTGTACCAAAATACCTGGTAATCAATTAAATATCTGTACCAAAATACCTGGTAGTCAATTAAATATCTGTACCAAAATACCTGGTAATCAATTAAATATCTGTACCAAAATACCTGGTAATCAATTAAATATCTGTACCAAAATACCTGGTAATCAATTAAATATCTGTAACAAAATACCTGGTAATCAATTAAATATCTGTACCAAAATACCTGGTAGTCAATTAAGTACATGTTCCAAAATACTTGGTAATCAATTAAATATATGTACCAAAATACCTGGTAATCAATTAAATATCTGTACCAAAATACCTGGTAATCAATTAAATATCTGTACCAAAATACCTGGTAGTCAATTAAGTACCTGTTCCAAAATACCTGGTAATCAATTACATATCTATACCAAAATACCTGGTAGTCAATTAAGTACCTGTTCCAAAATACTTGGTAATCAATTAAATATCTGTACCAAAATACCTGGTAATCAATTAAATATCTGTACCAAAATACCTGGTAATCAATTAAATATCTGTACCAAAATACCTGGTAATCAATTAAATATCTGTACCAAAATACCTGGTAGTCAATTAAGTACCTGTTCCAAAATACCTGGTAATCAATTAAATATCTGTACCAAAATACCTGGTAATCAATTAAATATCTGTACCAAAATACCTGGTAATCAATTAAATATCTGTACCAAAATACCTGGTAATCAATTAAATATCTGTACCAAAGTACAAAAAGGCATAACTTTAAAAAAAATCTTTTTGTACCTTTTAGAAAAGGTTATCGTTATCTAACCTTACCTGATAAGAAGGTGATTATATATGTTTTATAATGCTGAGTAAGTATGATACTATTGTAAATATCCCCTCCCCAGCAATTATTAAAATAAGGAGGAAATAATTTTCTCTGATTTTGTTTCCTTAAAAAAATAATGACAATTCTAAAAGACTAGATTTTCATTAAAATGAAAGAAAAAACTCAAACACAGAGCAATGATGAGAAAGTGATTATCTAACAATAAAATTAGGTCAATGCATTCAAGTACCTCAAAAGTATGTTCCCTGTACATTTCTTGTTATTGTCTTTTTGTAACCAAGCTGTTTTCTTTACCGTTCTGTTTAAATAGCAAGTTAAAAGCTGCACCAAATGTGACTGTAAAAGCATTTCACTGTCTTATTTATCATAATTTACATTAAAAAATACTTATGTTAAGGGAGGTAATCCAATATGGCGGACAGAGAACTAGAGAATGATAACCCCTAGAATGGCATGTTCCTGTGTATAATACACACCCCTCTTTTGACACAACAGTTTTTGCCTAAAAAAGTGTGCACTATTTGCGCAAATTTACAGTAATCCTAATTTGACAAGAACATGTATTGTATTATGTATATTCTTCATTTTGATCCAAACTAAATAACCAATTCATTGATTGGGTTGAAACATTTTTGTAGATATAAATGAAGACTGTTTTTAAAATTAAACTTATAATAAGTTTTACATGGATTCTTTGTCTAGCTTTATTTTGAATCCTTTGTGTGGAAATGATGACCTTTCATGGTTGTTGAGAGTAGTACCCGGTTATAAACAAATCTATGATGTTTGTGAACAGCCCTTCATGTAAACAAATCTATGATGTTTGTGAAAAGCCCTTCATGTAAACAAATCTATGATGTTTGTGAAAAGCCCTTCATGTAAACAAATCTATGATGTTTGTGAACAGCCCTTCATGTAAACAAATCTATGATGTTTGTGAAAAGCCCTTCATGTAAACAAATCTATGATGTTTGTGAAAAGCCCTTCATGTAAACAAATCTATGATGTTTGTGAAAAGCCCTTCATGTAAACAAATCTATGATGTTTGTGAACAGCCCTTCATGTAAACAAATCTATGATGTTTGTGAACAGCCCTTCATGTAAACAAATCTACCATACTGTAGATGTCATGACAAGGAGATTATTTTCTTGTTGAACAATGTTACTAAGTACAGTTTTATTCACACAAGTAACATAACCTATTAATAGTTTTATTCCTCACATGAAATATTTTGTGTCTGCAAATATCAGTTGCGTCTAGTGATAATAAGCAGTATAAAAAAGGAATGAATTTATTCAATTATTGACAAGCTGGTCACAATCAACTCATTTGAATTGAATTTGAATTGATGTTCCACACATCATACTGTCACATGTGCCCAACCATTCGTAACATTCATTTTAATGGTATACTTTACTCATAGGCCTACTTCATGTTTTTTTCATTCCTAAACTTTTTTGAATTTTTATTAATCAGGATATAAACCACAGACTATTTGTCATGATATTAACCACAGACTATTTATCAGGATATAAACCACAGACTATTTGTCATGATATTAACCACAGAATATTTGTCATGATATTAACCAGAGACTATCTATCATGATATTAACCACAGACTATTTATCATGATATTAACCACAGACTATTTATCATGATATCAACCACAGACTATTTGTCATGATATTAACCACAGACTATTTGTCATAATATTAACTGTGTACTTTTTATCAGGATATTAACCACAGACTATTTGTCATGATATTAACCACAGACTATTTGTCATGATATTAACCACAAACTATTTATCATGATATTAACCACAGACTATTTATCATGATATTAACCACAGACTATTTATCATGATATTAACCACAGACTATTTGTCATGATATTAACCACAGACTATTTGTCATGATATTAACCACAGACTATTTGTCAAGATTAACTGTATACTATTTATCATGACATTAACTTTGCTTCACCAAATTCGGACAAAAACCAACCATTCCGAATCTAATCTACTT